AGGGACCACGGAAAGGTCAATATTAATAGGATTATTAAGCTAAATGCTTAAGTAGAATGCTTGAGAGAGAGTGTGCACAAAGATCATTACAAAGGCATGCCTTCCAGAATGAAAAGACTTAAGGCTAAACTCCAGGTTCCTTTATATAAATACAGGTTATAGGTACTGGGCAGATAACAGAATAATCTGTAGAATTAAATAAAAGGGTAGTTCAGTGCTTTATTAAATCTATCTGAAAGTTGCAATTTCATGATGCAGTGCAGCAGCATCAAAAGTCAGACATTTTAAACTGAGGAATTACAAGCAGCAAGATCCCAAGCTACTGCTCGAAATGTATCAGCAGTTTAATGGACTACTTGTCATAGAGGTGCACATGAGCTCTTGTGGGTGGGGTTCAGTGACACAATGAAGGGCATCAGTAATATTCTTTTGACTTGTAAATGCCCAATCTTCTTGTGTCAGTCGATGCGCAGAAGTTTTAATAGGAGTACTCTGCGCTCTGGTCACCCCCACCAACAGTACAGGATGTGTGGCCAGGCTGTCATGCTTTTCACAGACAGCCAAGGGGAGAGATCGGGGCCAAAATGGATTTGGCTTGGAGGCATCGAGACACAATCTGGTCCGTCATCTGACAGGGGAAACACAGTGGATCCAGCACTTCATTATTGGCTTTCATAAAGTAAACCTGTACCAAGAGAAATAATGAAAGGCTGCTACTGCTGACCTCAAAGTATGAAAATGCTAGTTGTCTGGTTATAATGCGCATCCAGTGACATCAGTAGTTTCTCAATTACTGGTCCAGAAGTAGCATCCAAATTAGGAGTCCTCATCTCACTTGCTGCATGTTTATTTTGGGACAATGGCTTGGAAAACACTCAATTCAGAGACAGCCAGACAATAGGAGTGCTTTTACACTAACATTGGACTTCCAATTAGGTCTGGCTGAAAAGCTGACAGGCGGACCTTATAGGAAACCCAATGTTAGTCTATGGACCATAGACCAACATGGGTCCGGTAAGTAAAGTTTTTTTTCTTGCGATGGGGAAAAAACTGGATGGACCCGGATGGCACAATGGTGTAACCCCTTTTCAATCAGCAGGGGATCTATGAATAGATGATCTGACCGTGGGCCGCATACTAAGGCCGAAGGGACCTTAGTATTTTTAGAAAGAGGTCAGCAAAGATAGCCTATCTTCATTTTTGTCTTTCTCCCTCTCATACTTTCTTCCTCTCTCTATTTATCATTCTCTTTCTTTTTTTCTTTCATCTAAGGTACCTCTTTGGTCATCTATCTCTCTTCCCCCCTCTCTCCTCACTATTCTATCTCTCACTTTCTCCTTCTCTTTTCCCTCCATCTCTTTCTCCCTCTTCTTCCCTCTACTTCTCTCTTCTTTAGTCTCTCTCTTTTTGCCTCTATCTCTCTGTTCCTCAGTCTCTTTCTTCTTCTGCTTATGATTTCTTTCTTCCTCAGTCTCTCTTTTTTCTTTTTTTCTCTCTTCCTCTCTCTATCTCTCTTTTTTTCATTCTCTTTTTCTCCCTCTCCTCTCTCTTTCTCTCATCCTTCTATCTCTTTTATTCCTCTTTCTCTCTCTTATACCCTCTACCCTCCTCCCCCACCAAATTTCTCTGCCCCTCTTCTTCCCTTTATTTCTCTCTACCTCTCTTCCTCCTTCAACCTCTCTTTTTCTCTCTTCCTCTTGATTTCTCTCTCTTCCTTCCCCTCTTTCTCATCCTCCCCCGATCTTTCTCTCCTCTTCTCTCCTCTCTCACTCCAATTTTTATGTCTTTTGCCTCAATGTAATACAGTTTAAAATTGTTTAACACAACAGAACATTTTTCATGTTTTGCTTTATAGTCCAAAGAATGCTGTCACACACAGAAAAATGCTATTATGCATCCCAAGTCTGTAAAATATTTTTAAACATGTGTTTGCTTTTGTTATACATTTCCACACATATGAAACTAATCATAAAACCCCAGCACCACAAAGAAATGGAATGCCAGTTTATGGGGAACAGAAGGCTAGAACCTGTGAAAAGCCGGCGTTGGTGTACAAATGTCCTTCCTCTGCGAACCTTCATATGCCTTTCCTATGACTACACAGCCTGCAACATTCCACAATGTGTTCTGTGAATGGCTTGTTACATCTGCTAGCAATGTTCTGCATGAAATAGTGGAAAATCCCCATGACATAGAATAATGGGCAGAATCAAGGCTAAAGCAACCAAAGAAAACTATGAAAGGCCATTAAGACTAAAAACATACTATACTCTCATGAGAAGGTCTACATTTACTGCTGGGCCATGGAACAGTCTCAGAGTAACTGCAACTGAATGATATAATAGTTCAGAGTTTTCTCAAGTCCTTTTTCAAAGGCTTGCTCATTGAAATGATAATTTTATCGCACAGAAAAACAGCATATAGTAATATCTCTTAGTTCATAAAGTAAACACATAAGACATTCTAGCTGGTTAAACAGCGGAGTTATATTATTATTATTATTATTATTATTTCTAGCGGTTATATCATATTGGAAATATCATATCATATAGTCTGCATATTGTCTAATACAGTTGCATCATGATTATGTCCAGTGGTAAAGTCATGTTGGAGGTATTGTGTTCTAAATCTGTATTTTGTCTAATAAAATTGAATTAAGATTATATTCAGTGGTCAGGTCATGTTGGAGGTATTATGTTTTAAGTCTGTATATTGTCTGATATGCTTATATCATTGTTATTTACAATGGTCAGGCCATGTTGGAGGTATGATGCTCTAAGTCTGTATGTACAGTAAACTCTCTGTTATCCGGTATTCAACTAACCAGAACACTCATCTAACCAGAAAAAAAATCCCCTGTGTACTTATGGTTCTGCGGCATGTATTATCCTGGAAATGACCGTGTGACTATTTGTCTTAATGTTTTTTAAGTGTGTCCATTTGTCTTAATTTGCTTTTGATTACTGCATTTCAATATTAATATGAAGTCAATACAGAGTTTATGTTATGGTATAGTGTGGGGTATGGCAATAGTTAGATCTATTTTCAATAGTAACTCTAAAGCAACCAGAAACATTTATCTTGAATCTAACAATCCCTGTGGATGCCGGATAACAGCGAGTTTACTGTAGTGTGCTATAACTGATCATGCCAGTGGACAGGTCATATTGGAGGTATCAGGTTCTATATCTGTGTACAGCTAGAGAAAGAATGAATAGTGTTATAATCAAGGGCGTCCCCATAAGGAGGCAGCCTGAAAAAGGTAGAAAGGTACCTGGTTATAATAAGCATTGTTGGAGTTGTGATGTGTGAAGACATGTATTAGCATCTTGTCCAATGGTAAGATCAAGTTGGAAATGTAGTGTTCCAGGGGCGTCCCGAGGTCGGGTGCCCGACTTTTTAGAAGGGGGGTGACACCAAAATGACTGTTAGTCATTTTGGTGTCACCCCTGCAATGGTGACACCCGGGTGCAGGCCGCACCCCCTTGTAACACCACTGTAGTGTTCTATATCTTTCTAGAGTGCAATACTTTTGAAGCACATACACATGAAGTGCATACAAGTACATACAAGCAAGTTAAATACACATATCTAAAGGTACGGGACACATATCTAAGGCAAGGCAAAGGTACGGGACATCAATTATGCCTAATTGATGTACCTTACCATTTTATCCCTCTCCAGGCATCATGATTGATCTATTAGTCATTAAATCTCTGTCTCAATCGGGTAACAGTGCAGTTCTTCAAGACTGTGGTTGTGGCACCACAATCCAGTGCATAAGCACAAATCATGGGACCCCATAGCAAATTTTGTAGGCCACCCAGCTAACTCTTACTGTAGCAGCTTGCAGTATCAACTGTGACAATATGTGGCATTAATCTGAACACAGAATATGGCTTAATCAAGGACAGGCAGCAGGAGAGCTGTGAGCATAGTCAATACACTACAAAGGACCTGTTCTCTAGATAAAAGATACTGTATAGCTGTAGTAGCAATAATAATAATAGCAGCTGTCCGATAGGGTTTTAGAAGAATTTGGGGATTTGTGACTACATTAAGCACACAGGATTAATTTCAGTCTGTAGCAAGAGTTCAGAAGGCAATACATCTACACTGCTAAGACAGCTAAGCAAATGCTTCTTGCTGCACAGAGGAGGGATCTTTGACTAGTCATGATCCTAAATTCTGAATTTAACTCTGTACTGGTCACTTTACAGTTTACTTTTCCTTAACAACCTCTTTAATAGGGTCCCCTCCTACTCCAGACCCCCCACAGCAGCCGCCTGGGCGACTATAGCTATTGTTACGCCGCTGATTGAAATAAAATGTCTTTGATCCTCGACTTTCATTAACTGGAACCCTCCAGTGACATCCGAACCTCTCCAATCCATGCTTAGATCATAAAGGCTGATGGGCAGAATAGTACCATCCCGTGTCATGTGAACCTTTTCTCAGAGTCATGTGACCTCTGCCGCAATCCCTTTTACCTTGGCTGCATCTTTTGAAATAGGAAGCTGACCAGCAAGATCAGGTCCCCTAATTTTATAAGGCAATTTATATTACTCTCACAGTTTATTTTCCAAACTTGTCCCACCAATTTAACTGTCTCCCAAAACAGTTATTTTAAAGGCTTGCCAACTGTCAAGCCCTCATCCAAAAGTTCAGGCCCTCAAATGACTTGTATCATAGCTGATCACATGTGTAGCACCATGGCAACTACAATCCAAATAGAGGCTAAGATGGCACCTACCTTGGATGTAAAGGAGAGGAGGGTGTAGCTTTAGGTACATGATTACTATTAAGTAAAGGATTTTAAATCATGTAATCGGGGTTTCTTTGCTGAATTGCGCATACTGCTGTCTTTGCTTCTACTTTAAATAACATTTATTTTTATCACTCTTTTTCTTTATTTATACATTCCCAATGAAACAGTCAGAAATTAGAGCATTCTAAGTCTTCTGAGCAGAAGTCATAGAAAATAATGTAATATTTCCTACCTCCATAAGGAGCTCTCTAGAACCTTCCCCATGTCAGCATGGTAATACTTGGTGAGTATCAGGATAACCTGCATATAAGGAAAAAAGAATACACGTTAGATAGTAATCCAACATACCATGCATCCCCCCGAAACAACAATACATTTATAAAGTACTAAATATATTTGACAATATCTACTAAAAAATGCAATTTATTTAGGGAGCACCAGCTGATGTCAGAATCAAACATAGAACATTAGATGCAGGGTCTACACTTCTGCTGTCAACCACCAATCCACTTCTCAGTGGGAATTTCTATGTGCTATAGCAGCTCATAATATCAAAAGACACAGCATAGCATAGACACAGCTGATTCTGCAGATATCCCATAACAACTAGCATAGTTATCAATACATACAGAAGATAACCATAGCTACCAATGCCAAATTCAAAAAACAATATATCAAATTTGAATAAACCCCGCGCCAAATGCGTGATAGCAGCAACACTAAAATAATATAATTATATTATTGAGAATGGATACATTGTGTCGCACTGTGAATCAAAGTGCCACACCAAGATAATATCCCAAATTATTTCCTTACAAACTAGTGTAAAAAATATATATATGTCCCAATTTGGTTTTATAAACCTCTTATGTAATATAAATGAATTTATCCACATAAGCTATGAATGGACAGAAGTGCATACAAATACGAATACTTTTGTACCTTAATGCTTAAAACAATGTGGATGACCACAAAGTCACACTATTATACTCGTTGTTATATTTTTATATAGATATTTATTTGTAAATCAACATATATATAAAGCAAACGGAAATATGGATACTACTAATTATGGAAATCTTGGATACTACAAAGACAAAGTGCAAACATTAATAATCAATAGACATGTGCGATTCGTTTCGTTCCGAATCGAAATTCGGACGCATTTTCAAAAATTCGGACATTCGGATGTATCCGAATTCCGAATTACAGATATAACGAATGCAAACAAATCCGAATTTCCGTTTCCGAAATTCGGTAGCGGTAGTTCATTCGTACGTTCGTTTCGTGTTCGTTTCTTATTCATTTCGTTCGTTGGAGCAAAGTGACATTAGAGAAGGAGAAAAAAAAATTTCCCCCTCAAATGTCACTTTGCTGCAAACGAACGAACGAATGAACGAAACGAATACGAAACGAACGTTCGAACGAACTACCGCTAACGAATTTCGTCCGAATCCGAATTGACTTTCACACCCGAATCCCGAAAAACGAAATAACGCAAATCCGAATTTAAAACGAAACTAAACGAATTTTTTGGCAGTGCACATGTCTAATAATCAAGATATTTCTTAAATAGTCTATATACCGCACAACTTTCTGAGGTTAGAAATAGGGACACCTTTTTGTACAGAGTACGTAGGCAAAGGACACTTCCCTGCTGTACCCCCAGTTCTGCGGATCACAAAGAAATAATATACAAAAAATAATTGATTAAACCCAAAGATGCTTTTTTTTCAGCACCACTTTTCCATTATACTCACTAGCAAATGGAATAACTTAGAGGTTGGATGAAACGTTCAGCGAGGTATAACACTTTTTATAGTTCAATAATACATTTTATTATTATGATTTATTCATCAAGTTAAAAACAAGGACACAAAAGAGAGACAGTCCCTCCATACAAGGGATAGTTGGTTGCTATATTTACATGCCTGTCTCATAATAATAAGTCACTATGCCCAGTTGATTTGTACAGCAAGTTTAAACAAATGAATCCTTCTGTACTCGCAAACGCGCAAATATGAGAGTTAAAGTGCAACTGAAGCCAAACCTTTTTTTTTTTTAGTTTTGGATCGAATGAAAGGTTTTAGAGCACCTGTCAAGTCTTTACTGCTGTGTGTCCCTATTATGCAGATTCACTCTCTCTATTTGTCCTGGTGACCTTTATCACAGAAAGAGAAAGAAAGTCCAAATTGTGGGTTGTCAGCAGAACAGAAATAGATGGGAAATCTTCCATGGGCACACTAGTTCTGGTGACTCCACTGACCACCAGGGATTTCCCTCACTTTGGAGGGATTTCCTCTCACTTCCTGTTGTGGCTATTTGACAAGAAGTGAAGGGAAATCTCCCCAATGGGACAGAGATGGCAAAAAAAATGTTAACAGGGGTTATAACCCTCCCTTACTTTATCTAACACTAAATTTAAATGTTTAGACTTTTGTTTTTAAGGTGCCAACAAAATGGGATATGTGGTCACCAAAAGGTCCTTCTCATAAGCCTTTATTGTAAAAACATACTGTATATGCATGTACTATGCAGACATTAGTGCTTACAGAGCAGGCAGGAGGGAAGGCTCAGACACTGACATGTCTGGGGAAGTCAGACCGCCAGGAAAATCTATCCAAAGCTGCTTTATGGACATGATCTGCAGTACTGAGCTGCAGCACCTTACAAGAACTTTGCCTTTCTTCCCATGGATGAAAGCAGATGTGAATATACAGTATAACCTGATGGCTGATAACAGAATCAGTCTGAAGAGAGCACCTGTTCCCTGAGATGCACAGTTTCATGTCAGTCCTGACCTTTTTTTTTATCTCCCGTGGCATTTGATAGTGAGGACCTGTCATTTCCATTCAGTAGAACTGAAAATACATTTTCAGAGCCCATCAGCAAAACATTTCTGTAGCGAACTATTCTGATGAATCAAATGGATGTTTCAAGTTAGTTCAGAAGGAATCTAGTGTCTTAAAGGAGAACTATGGGGTCAGTGTTTTTCCCCATAGTTCTCCTTAGGGTAACGGGAGGACACAGCCAGCAGTATACTGAGATGCTGCAGCCGGAGCGGATCCCGACGTAGATGACGGGATCCGCCCAGCTGCGTGAGTGACAGCTGGCTCTGCCTATCTAGAGGCAGAGCCAGCTGTACCCGCGCAGATCGGAGCGGGGAGAGGGGAATCCAGCCCTTCCCCTGTCACGGCAGAGAGGCGTGACAGGATCGAGCGGTGAGCGAACCTGGTATGTGTTATATTTGTTCGCCCACCTCCCGATCTACTGAGCCGACCTGTGACAGTCTCATTGTCACAGGTCGGCTAGAACAATGAGGTGAGTGGAAATCACTCATCTCATAGTTCTCCTTTAATAATGTCTTTTAGGTGTGAATGTGATCAATTTAATGAACATAATTGTGTCATTGTGCTGCCAGGCAGTCCTTTATAGTCGCTCTTTAACCCTTTCGCTGCCAAGCCCTCCGGAACATTTTTCAAATCAGCTGGCCAATCTATTTTTGAATTTTCTGCAATTTTTTCCTATTGATTTGATTTTCAACTGCTGCGTTGCTAGCGTTTGTAAAAGACCCCCCAAACCATATATTTTCTGAAAGCGCAGGCCCAAGTTAAAGGAGAACTATGAGGTGAAAATCACTCAGCCTCATAGTTCAAGCCGACGTGTGACAATGAAACTGTCACACGTCGGCTCAGTAGATCGGGAAGTGAGCAAAAACACATACCGTCGCTCGCTCACTTCTCGATCCTGTCCCTGCAGAGAGCAGTGACTGTCACTCATAAAGATTTTGCCCACATGCTCACACTTTTTATATTTAATTTTTCTCATTATAGGAAACCTAAATGCTGAGGGAAATAAAGAGCTGACCTCTCTTTCTTAAAATGCCATATGCTGAATGTCTATAACAGCATTTCCCAACCTTTTTTAGTTGCAGCACCCTTTAGAAGTATGCAAAATGTAAAGGCACCCAGTCTAAAATGTCATGGATTTTAAGGGGATCCCCACACAAAGACGCACAATAAGGTGGGTTTCTCCCTCAACATTGAAGTGCCCCTTCAAGATTCCCTCCCCTTCACATCAGAACTACCCTTTGCATCAGTAGCCCCCCTTCACATCAGGAGCTCCACTTTCATATCAGAGTTAACCCTTTACATCAGGAGCCCTTTTCACATCAGTCTTCACCCCCCCCCCCCCCAACCAATATGCCATGGCACCCTGGCTGAGAAAGGTTGGTCTATAACTCCAGCCTAAACTTTTTTTTCCTATTAACACTTCTCTATTCTATTCTACTACAGACGATCTCTATGAATATATCTAACCTCTATCCTGCCCTAACCTATTCTTTCTGTCTACAACAGCTCATTCTCATCCTCTCTGGAAACACTTGCTCTCCTTACTACACACAGATTTAGGCCCCAACTGATACAACCCTGGCAAACAGACCACACCAGAAGTCTCAAAAGACATAACCATGATCTTGAGTGACTATGGCACAAAATAAGTCCCTGCAAGAACTCTCTGTATATAAATTTGCCCTTCTAAACTATAATTCCTTTCTCCATGCTGTCAAACAGACCCATTTCATCTAATCAAGTCCTTATTAACTCTTTACTACATTTTACTCTGTATTTTGTCCCCGACTACCTCCACTCACTAACTTACTCACTGACCAAGAGATCACCAATCATTTAAAAAACAGGAGATCTCCACTGTGCCAATATATCTCCCCCACCAAACATACCATATCTACCACCACATCCAATACTTTCCTATTTTGAAGCGGTTAACACAAAGGAAGTTGCTAAATATTTTTCTGAGGCCCACCTAACCACTCTAAAACCTGCACTGCTCAACCCCACACCTAAAAAGCCCTCACTGGACCCCCAACAGTTTGACCTAAAGTACACTTAAACAAGTAAAGTAGTATTAAACTTTCAAACTTTTTGAAAAATGAATCCAGATCAAACAAATATAAATTGCCCATCAAACAAAATCTTTAAATTTAAAGTTTAAGAATTGTCAGCGATTTTAGCCCTTCCTTAATGTACCCAAAAATTAAAAGGAAAAATAAATTGGCCAGAATTGGGCTTTTAGACACAAATGCTGACAGGAGTAGAGAGTGATGACTTAACATAGTGCTGCCACTCCTAATTTTGCAACCAGAAGGCTGGGGGTTGTTCTTGACTAACTGTGCCGCTGCTGTGGTGGAGGTCATGGAACTAGCCTTGCGCTAGCACTGGCTAAACACAATTACAAACCCACCTAAAGGTAAAACTGGGCCTATACGCTTTATA